TACGAAGGGCTGCTGCTCCTTGTGCCGCCTGATGCTCGAGTGAAAGCCCAACTTTCAGCAGCTCACGCAGTTTGCCGCACCCGCCACGTGTCCCAGAATTGTTCAACTCCACCAACCCATTCTCCTCATCCCCTCTGTCTGTGTCGCTGCTGTGTCGAATGGAGTTTGAATCGCTTTTTGGGCAGTGTCATTGCTTTGCCTATGGAGTACTCCGGAGTCGCATACGGATGCGTGTTCCTAATGTGACAGCTTAATTGCAGGTGAGACGCGTCGGGCGCGTGGCCGTCGATGATGCAATTAGACAGGCAACGACTTCTCCATTGTCCTGCGATGACTTCTCAGCTGGGTGTGCGGGCTGGTTGGTCCCGTTGCCTATCTGTGTACTCAAACATTGTGTGGGTGCAGTATGGCATACAAAGCTGTTTTGTGGATGAATCGAGGTGTTATTGGGCTATAATGAGTTTACAGTTGCTTAAACGCATTTCAATTCCATTCCTCTTCTGACTTAAATACAGTTAAGACAATGAAATGTTATGAATAGGACATGCATAATAATATAAGTAGATAGCATTTTCAAAGATATTATATAAAATAAAAGATAAAACTAAAAAGCTATATATATTTACTTTGTAAAGTAATTATTAGGGATTATCGTTAGTATAAAAGTTGTTTAGTTCAACAGCGATCAAGTGATTCATGAGATTTACAAGATTGTAAACAGCATAAGGAAGTATCTTAAATGAATTAGCAACAATTATTTTCTTTTTGGACGAACCATTGGCAAGGATATATGAATAGCCTGAAGATTACAGTTATTTGCGTTAATAACTGTTTTACCAGTTGCCCAACTATTACCTACTTAAATACTGTATACATCTAGAATTTCTAAGCATTTCAAACTGACTATGAGAAGTAGATCAAAGGCGTTCCTTCCATGTCAGAGCCCTGTGGCTCTGACGAAACTCTTGATTTAAACCCACCCACAAAACAGAAAAAGTTTCTCACATTACATCATGGGCCAGTGACTGGGACGAAAAAGAGAATGAGGACGTGGTCTGAATCGGTCTAAATGGACATCGTTTAATATTGATGGGCATTGTTAGAGCTCTTTATGATGAGAAAGCGACGCCAGAGTTTTTGCCACTGCTGCTGTTGTGCTGTGTTGTGTTTCAAGTGAATATTTAATTAAATTGTTTTCTAATAACCACGCGCAACTTTGTTGTGCTGCACGCGCCAGGACACGCGGCAATCGAGCCGACCAGCCAGGACACACCTTGTTGTGCCAACAACATTAGCACAGGGCGGTGCGCTTCGCTTTCGATGGCCCAAAAAGAGCCAGTGGCAGAGCCACCCCTTTCCCGCAACACCGTCAACGAGGGCAATTCGAGCTGCTCGGTCTACTGCTGTCCTGAATATTCTGGCTGGCTGCTCTGCCTGTTCTGTCCTTTTATGTGCTACTAATTTTCCAAATTACGCACCATCAATCATCGCAAGTTGCGACACGAGCTTGACGAACGTCGATTGCGATTGCGATGTTTGCTGCGTTGGCGTTGGCGTTGGCGCTGGCGCTGGCGTTGTCAGTGCTGATGATGATATAAACTATAACCACCCAACCAGCAGACCACCCACCCGCCAATCAACAGCCAATCCCTGAGCGCCGCCACTTGAATCAAGCGATGCTGCGCCAGCCGCAAGAAAAAATTAAATTAAACTTCAAGTGGCCGCAATGTTGCGTGTGTGCAGCAGTTGCAGTGGCAGTGGCAGTGGCAGTAGCTGCGGCAGGTCCGGACTCCTGCCAGAACATGGTCTCATGCAACTCAATTGTTGACTGTGGGAATCAGTTGTTGTTTTTGCTTTTACTGGCTGCAATAATGTGTGTTGTTGTTGTTGCTGTTGTTCCTTTGGTCCAGCGTAATTAACGCTAATTGCGCTTAAGCATAAGCCAGACTTCTGACTTTTCAGCGTGGTTTTCGGCTTGTGTGCTGGATTTTCCCAATTTTCCCAAGCCCAAACTATGTGCTGTGTTTTTCTTTTGGCTTGACTCTTTTGGCAAAACATTTGTCTTGTTATTAGTTTGCCAAGCTTAGCTTAAACTCAAGCAAAATAATAATAAGAAAAACTGATATATGTAAAATCTCTAACTTGATGCCCCAGAAGGCAACCTTTTTGAATAACTTCCATGATTGTTATCGCATTGCTTTAGAAGATTAAAAACAGATAAGAATAACAGGATACACGTGTGCTGAATGTATTTGTAATTTGTTTAAAAAATCTTTTGTAGGTATTCACTTATCGGTATTGAGATGCTACCCGAAAACACAGAGAAAGCCTGCAATTGCACTTTAAATTTCCACCAATATTTCAGCTTGAAATCAAAGGAAATTAGACAATTATGTCGATAAACCTAGGTTGGCTGCAACAAGGTCAGAAATGTAGTAATGCTTAATTACAAGTATTTTACTCTTAGCACAAAATATATTTATCTAAAGTTAATTAAAGTTATTGAGCAATCACAAAATCAATAATATTCCATTTGTCACATTTTAAAGGTTCTAGCCAGTCTAATAGAGTACATGCTTTGAAGACTAAGTATTACTTAAATTTGATAATACATTTACTGGTCGTTGCTTTCGTAATTAGGTTTGCACTTCAGCTAATGAAAGAGCTCACAAGTGTGGATGGGCAAGAGAGACAAGGAGTTGAGGCTTAACAATGCAGTGCAATTAAGAGCTCAATCAAAGTGACTGCGACTGCCTATCCCAAATTACATTTATGGAATTATTATTGATGTTTGGCATTGACCACCAATCAACCCAGCGCTGGCCGACTCCAATTCCCGTACTAAACACCCAGAAACCCAAACACAAACCCCAATCCAAGCCGATGGCATATCCAATTTGGTTGAGTAGCTCTATTGCCGCTTCGCTTGGACATTTGGCTGACCGAAGTTTGATTGAAGCGCAGACACAAAATGCTGGCAGGCAGCCATTATATTTAAGCTGCCTCCGATCTCTGTTTATATAAGTATGCACGGAGTACATGGGGCGCAGCCACACACCCTCTCACGGGTCCCCCCCCCCTCCTCCTCCTCCTTATAATACACCCCAAACAGATTCCCACATACTTTATATGTCTTATGTACATAGTTGATTTGCTTGCTGCCCGCTCGCTCAGTTTTTGAACTTTGCATGTATATATTCGTATTCACATACATCTATACACACACACGCACACACACACACACACACACGCACGCACTTACACACATTTCAAGCAATTCCAATGGTGGCCTGTGATTTCATTCATGTGCCGAACTATGCGCCTCATCCGCCGAATCATCATCATTGATTTGCAATGCCCAAAATGTGTCTGTCTAATGATGAGGTTTGTTGTTGCCTGTTGTGCTCTGCCTAACTGCCAAACATTCGGCCATATTTGTATGTATATCACTGAGTGTGTGCGTATATCTATATGTATGTGTATGTGTGTATGTGTGTGTGTGTTTGCCATCGTTTTTGGAAATATTATATGCTCATACCTCCGTTTTCGAGTAAATTGTGTAAATATTTGCGCTCGTAAGTGGATTGGAGATGGATGAGTTTATCAACAGCGTAGTCGATGCCGCAGCAGAGCCATCTCCATCACCATCACCATCAACATCGCCATCTCCTATCCCAATCATCCTCATCACATTCACATGCGTAGCCAGCTGACTGATTGCCTTTGCCTGCCGTTGTTGCTTTGCTGCCTGGCTGCCTGGCTGCCGTTGCCGCTTTGCTTTCCGAGCAGCTCGTCTCTCAACTACTCGCTGCCAACTGCACTTGCAGCCCCTGATAACCGAATTGGCTAACTTATACTTCCCATCTGCCCCTTCTGGGTGAGTATATCGGCTCAAATTGGGTCTAGAATTTCAAGTCTGAAATGCGTTTGCATATATGCCTCTATAAGAACTGTGCTCGATATACAGCTAAATATTGATTTCAAGTTTATGTGCAATTTTTGTACATTGTGGAACGGCAAATGAATAATTTATGGAATGTTTTCACATTTGTAGAAATAGTGCTCAAAAGATTGTTTACATCCTTATCATTAATGCCAAGTAATAGTGCAATTTCAGGCATATGCTTGATCCAATCCTATACCCTTTCAAACAATGAAGACCAACGTTAAATAGTATTTTTCATTAATCATCTAAAGTTTTAAGAGATTTGTGAATATCGGATTTAATTTATTATTTGTATTACCCGAAAACATTAAAATCAATATTCTATAAGGTCCAATCAAGCACAGGAACGGACAAATAAACATACACATATAAGTAAAAACTCACCAATTCAATTAGCGATCTAATTTATATTTTCAAAATCTTCATATCTGTTCTGTAAAACGCTGAATTCTACTCGAAAATACATATAAGCTTTTTACACCAAATACTCACACCAGCCAGAAAGCTTAACATAGCAAAGACACTCACTCATTGTACAGTTTGATGTTTATTGAAGAGGGGCTTACGATCCACTGTTCCCACTATTTTTAAAATACAATTTAATTAGTAGGTGCGCAGTTAATCTCAAACTTATGGTGTGCGTCTTGGGTACACTACTATATAACTGTTCAATTATACTCAAACTGCAAGCGATGTGCTGAACCGCTAAATTAAAGCACAGCTGTTCTAAAACTGTCAAATTGAAGCTGCGAGAAACGGAGCATACTCTTAGGCTGAACACAATTAATTGCGTTTCAGGGAATCCGAAATTTTAAAGCATACTTTTAGGGTGAGTTGCAATTTTAATTTCACAAAGCAGAATGAATTTAAATTCATATTTCACTTGCAGAAGGAACGGGATTAATTCAAAATTCAAAAATCTTGGTATTCAATTTTGATGTACTTGTTTTGATTGTTCGACACAGAAGTCGCCAGAATCTGCAATGTTATGGCTGAACTATGAGCAATTCTAAATCTACATCTTTTTGAAGGACATTACACTTCAACTCTGCAATTGAAGCTTATATTTCCGATTTTATTGTGGAGACCAACAATATAAGCCTATCTGAATTTCCAATATCTGACCATGTCAACAGAATCGAATTATATTAACGTTATTAATTCAAATATAGACAATGCTTCATTATGTAAACGTATACTGCACTAATTCGAGTGCTACATAATAATAACTAAACTTAAGTTAATATACGTTTTAATTAAACTATCTAAAAGCTATCACAGGCAGAACAGTAATTACGCACTAACGAACTTAACTACAACTATCTATACACATATATGTGTGTATATATGTATATATGTATATGGATACATGGCGATAGCAGCTCCATAGACGCCATCCTGTCGCACAACTTGCACTTAGGAACTTTAAATGAGTCCATCTATTGTTGGTCCTTGTCGGGGCCTTATCTATCGACTTGGATGATTGAGTGGCATGTTAAGCTCCCACAGTTTCATGCTGTTGTCGAGGACTTCGTGGAACCAGCTCTCCTTCTGCGGCTGATCCCTGAACACAACGTTGAGTGCCTTCAAGTCCAGCTGCAATATGGCATCATTTCCAAGCAGGCTGTCCAATGATCTGAGCAGCGTACTGTTCCCATGTAACTTGAGCAGGGTCACATACTTGAGCGCGTAGTACTCATATTGCAGTTTGCGGCGCGCCCATCTCTCCACGGTTGCGTTGGCGCTGGCCGAGCGTATCTGGCCGAGATGCTCGGTAAACCACGGTGCAAAATAGTTGTACAGATCGAGCTTGGAGAGGCCGTTGAGGCCTTTGCTCTTAATGCGCTCCTTGATCATTTTGTAGTTCTTGCGATTATATACGAACACCTGGTAAAGGGAATTTCCCGTCGTATACGAGTTCACATAGTGTGTGCCAAATTCCATAAATCGCATTGCTGACGTTAAATTGCCAACCTCAAATTGTTGAACGCGTGCCTGCACTTCCGCCTCCAGCGGCTGATTGATCGGGATCTCTGAGTTGAGTTTTCCAATCTCTCGGAAGCGCACAACGCGCACCAGCACATAGGAATAGTCACCCTGAATGAAGGAGGTGTTGATGCCCATCTTCTTGGCCGCATTATCCGCAAACCAGCCACCCGTAAACGCCTCCCATGGCTTGTCCAACCGGTCGATGGTAAAGTCCCGGAAATAGGCCTGAAACAGTTGGCGACGATTCTCGCAGAACTCCATGTGAAAATCGCCATGGAAAATGCCGGGCGTGGTATCCTCATGGCTATCCGACAGTCCACTAATGTTCTGCAAGGAAAAAGAAAAATGTAGAAATATATAATCTATCAGTTGAATATCTCTGTATTTATAAGAATATATACAATTCCTGGAATATTAAAGACGGTACACAAATATGCAAATCTATGCGTAGAGGAAATGCTAATGTATTCATATTAAGCTCATATGTCAATTCTGGTGAAATACATTTATTATACTCTGATGCCGAGCAGCAAGAGTATATTGGTTTTAAACAAAGTCTGTAATTTTTCCCTTAAAGTTAGAGCCTTAAAACTTGGAACATGTACTTGTCTGTGACTGCATTAGACAAAATGTCCTATATCTTCTGCAATTTAAGAGCTAAATTGAACGAACTCAGAAGATCGATTACTAGAAATCTGCTTCAAAGACCGGTATTTCTTGGCTACACCTATCCAATTCCCTGTCACCTTTTATCAGCTGGCATTACTTATTGGTATCAGAGTATCTTGTAGTCCGCTATGCAATGCTCCCTCACTTATTTTATTGTAGTCTCAGCAGAATAAATAACATTTCTTGAAAGCAACATTCAAATACATAAAAATTATATTTAAGTGTTTGAATTGAATTAAATCTTGAATTCACTTCAAAATGTAAATTAGTTTCAAATGAAGTTAGTTTTAAATGAAAAGACGAGCTGACGATCTATTAAGATACGTTTGCCTTTAATACATATATGTATGTGTGTATTCTGTGTTTGTATGCATATGTTTGTAACGCGGAAGGAATTAAGCAAAGTTCAATAGAACTGATAACGTGTTGGAGATTAGAATGGCAATCTCATTAGACCCCTGTGCCACACTTCTAAAGACTCGCTATAGTAAACATAGTGGCTTTATTAACTTACCTTGTAAATATTTCTAGTCGGCTCTTTGAAAATCCAGCGTTCGCTCTCGGCACTATCATTGTAGGGTATGACGCGCATCGATATGCCCAAATAGCCGTATCGCAGGAATATGTTAATGGCTTTGCCAATGCGCAACTGTGACTCGCGACTGCCACTGACCGCCAGCATCAGGAGCGCCAGTGTCAACAGCCACAGCCACAGCCAAAACAGGCCCTGCCGCGGGCTCAGGCTCGGGCTCATCGCTCAACTGTTTGTTGGTCGGCGGCATGCAACGGGGGCTGCAATTGTTGGCAGTGTTTTATTAGCAAACATGAATAGCAAAACTAGCGATAGCTAGCAACAAACCAGCAACTACTCACATATAATAAAATCTACCTCGTATACTTGTTTATATATTCATTATTTGCCTAACCATTAAGCTACACATGAGCTGGCGATAATTTATGCGCATTGACTCGGTCAATGTGTGCAGGTTAGGCGGGGAGGACTTTGAGGTTGTAGCTCTAATTGACCGTGAACCTTTAGCGGCGTTGAACTTGAACCGAGGCCAGGTGTGCCTTGCAGCGAGATGATCTACTTAAGTGGCTGACGCTGCAATTAGCCGCGAAGAAGACAAAGATACGTATTTGTATGTATTAAGACATCTAAATTGGATCGCCAACAAGTGGTATGCTTGGAGCTCTTTTGTTGTTGCCTCGCATATGCAAATCATTTCCTCAAGTTGTTTTTTTCGTATGCCTCGCAAAATATTTTATAACAGTTTGGCGCGCCAATTTAAACCGGTTGACGACTTTCCGATCTCTTTGATTGGGACGAGGAAGCCACAATAGCAGCAACAACGACAACAACCACAACAACAAAAACAATAACAACAAACTGGCACAACTAAGTCGAAGCGACAACTGCTAACCACAATGCAACTTGTTGCGCAAACTCGACTCTAAACAAACTACTTAGAATTACCGACGTTATCAACAGCACCAACGGCAGCTACAGCAGACGTGTTGAACCAGTCAAAATACAAAGGTTAGCCAAAACACTCGGTGTCGGGTGTTAGCCATGTCAACATGAGTCACACCTGCCTGCCTCAGTTGCTGTTGTTAACAATGCTGCTGGTTTTTGGGTGGGCACTGAAGCGCAACATTTGCCAAACGACCGACAATGATGACGGTCAAAATATGAGCATTTTTAGCGAACCATAAATTTAGACGACAGCCAACAAAGTCAACGAAACTGAGATACAGCAACAGCCAACTACCACGAACATGACAATGCCCTAACTCTTCAGCACTGCAGAATAAGCATGCATGCTGTGAAAGGCAAGACAGACAGACAGACAGACAGTCACATAATTCGAATGACAAGCGAATTTGTAGTATTGAATACTTGAATCAATCAACTTAAAATACATCAGTTAAATAAACAATCCCAAAAAAAACTTTGCAATTTAAATGAATTTGAACTAATTGTATAAGAATTGTCCAACGAGTATTATTAATGAAATTCGTACGAAATATTTAACTCGACATTCTCAATAATTTTAAAATAAAATACAAAATTCGACTGTTAATTTCAATACTAATTGTAACCAAACGCATGATGAATTTAATGTGACCCAAAGCACATCTCCAGCTGTAAATCTATAATTATTATAATTACTGAACAAATACAAAAATATTCCATTTGCCTTTGTGTTCATTTGCAATAATGATTTATTAGAACAGAACTATTAGAACCGGTTTTAATAATAAATAAATATTTAAAAAAAAAATGGTAAATTTATTAACAATTTACTCTACTCAACATACTTTAGTAATATATGAAATGAAACTGATATTCCAAGTTATAATTTTCTTACTTTTTCAGAATAAGTAATTATTTAAAAAAAGAGCAACATACTAAACCTTATATACACCACAAATATAATCAGTTAAACCAGTTATTACTAAGATTTTAGAAAAATGAACGGGGATTGTTTTAATGATCCCTATTCTTGATTGATTTTTAACTTATTAAAATGATACAAGCGAATATTTATTGGTTTTCGTGCAAAACTCTCAAAGCCCGGTTAGCAACATTTTAAAATTATATACCTTGGCAATCTGTTTCTATCTTTTCACTGCTTTAAAGCAGCAGAACAACATTTAATTAAGTAAAAATATGTTCAAATTTGGTTTAGTGGTCATTTTAGTTAGATGGCCAAAACAACAGAACCAAAATCTATGAAATATTTCAGACTTACGTCGACTGACTACCCCGAATGCTGGCCTAAGCTGACAACTGTTCGCAGCTCTATTGATTACTGGCACTCTTTGTCAATTGTCAACAGCTTAAAAAAAGTCATCACTCCAGCAACGTCAACTCGTGGTGTACATACAAACATATATAAGTATTTATGATATAATGAACCTTTTGGGTATGGTATGGTATGGCAGGCATTTACAATAGCAGCATACGCATAACCTTGTGCAAAATGCCCAAAAACCCAAATTGAAATTGAAAGCCAAGAGACGGATACCCGCAAACGGAGAGGTAGTCGAAGCTTTGCAAATGAATCAAAAATTCAATGCGCGCGCGATGTTGACGACTCTGTCCGAATGTTTGACTCTTCGACTGTTCGACTACTCGACTACTCTTCTTCTGTTTGGCAAGGCAAGGCAAGGCAAGGCAAGGCAGCTAACCAGATCGGCGAGACGCAGTCAATTGGAGATTCTTTATGCGCTCTCGAGGGGACGCGGTCGCACGAAGGGCACTCATAAGGTCTGCAGTTTATAGTTTTATGTGTACATACGTATATAAAAAACCAAAAAAAAATATATATATAAATGCTCGTATGCTATAGCCAGTGATTTCCTTGAACAGCGTTTAACATAAGCTGAGCACAGATCATAAGCATTTTTTGTTGTTTTTGTTCGACTGCACACGAGAATTCACGAAGCACTATTAGGCAGCAGCGGCAGCAATGGCACATATATACATATATATATACTATATATATATACATATTCGGATGTATGTATTTGGTATTTCGATAAGCTTTGACACGCACTCAGCAAACAGAGATTTATACTATATATACTTATGTACACATATATATACATGCATACATATATAGTTAGTTATAGCACTCGGCGGCAACTGAAACCGATTGGTCGGAGAGACGACCTGTTCGCCACTGGTTTGCCTTATCGCACGGCTAACTGACACCAGGGGCCAATGCACAAGGCGCGTTTAGCATCATTAAATAGCCATATTTACTTTTGTACATAACAACATTTGAATGTTAAAGGTCAAGCCCGGCGGCAATAATAATTCTGAAGGCGAAGAAGCAACATACACAGTTCAAATACACGCCGTTGACCGTTGCGGAAATTGATAAGCAAATGTCGGCCCTTAGAGACGTTCAGATGTATAATAATAATCAATTGAAATTATTATTATTATTCATTACTGATAGCTTGTGCCGTTACATTTGCGTTACATTTGCGCGCACTGTTTTTATGTTTGGTTTCAGCAATAGCACAGACAAATTCCGGCTACCCAGCCACACACATATACCAAAAATAATCATACACTCAGAAAGACAACATGCACAGACACACACACAGACACACACACATACACACACGTGCCTTCCAATTGCAATTAAAAAGCCGGAATCTGACTTCGTTGTCGATTCTCTAAGCACTTACGAGTACACCTCGAAAACGAGCCGAGTGTGTTGTTGGGCACAACTTCAACCGCGCAGACTCGAAACAAAACTGAAACTGGCTGCCGGCGTGTTCAGCCAGCCAGCCAGCCAGCCAGCTACCAGCTCAGTGACCAGCTACCAAAACTCGATCGCTTGAGAGAATGCGCTGAGCGGCAACGGCAACGGCAACTCTCCAGCGCACAGTGGCCTAGAATCATTTGTCATCGATGGATTTATTTTATGTACATATGCATTTAACAACTGGCTCGTAAATATCGTATAAATATATTTCTCATGAAGTTGGAAAACTGGGTATGTTCATCGAAAACGATAATGAATCAATACTTATAATATTCCTTTCATTAATATGAAGCCTGCCAATTTCATTCCAAGAGTAACCAACTTTTATTTAATTTTTAATTAATCTGTTTAGAAATTTAAAAACGTTATTTGAAAGTTTCAGCTTAAACCTACTAAGCAAAAAACCTACAAACAATTTACTACTTATTAATATAGTATTTTTAGGATTTACAAAATGTAAATTTTCGATGAATTGTCTATGGTTATAATGACATATTCTTTTCACTGTCTTGGCCCAAAATACAAATTAGGCTCAAAAATTAAATTGTTCACGTAGTGCGATCGTTTCTTTTTTGCCCACTGTACTGCAGTTACAGTTCAATGACTGATGCGCAGATGTTCTGGTCGTTTGCCTGCCTCTGCCACGCCCTCCACAAACACACACACACACTGTGAGGCGCAACAACGGTAATAGCATATGACACAAATGCCTAAATGACTCTGTTGTCTAAGTGGTGTGTGTGTGCCGGTTCCCCCACAGCTTTTCCGCTTATTAATATTTCCTAGCACGTCTGCCGCTTCCACATCGGCATTCTAAAATGTCCGAGACATGCGAGCTGGGATCTGGGAACTTGTCACTGCGGCTTGGGTCGTGGTCGCAGTGACATCAGAGCGATAAGTACTTGTACATAAAATTGAAATGATTGCAATTTAACTGTAACTTGCGCAATACTTCAATAGAATTGTGTTGCAATTGCTGAAATCAAAAACTTTTTGACAGTCTCGCTGCCGGTCAACACACTCCAACTGAAATAACCAGAAAAAAATAAAAACATTGCGAAAAAAAAACGAAAGTATCAAATTTTCATTACCTTGAAAAATATGCAGAGCAATTTAGGTCAAATTTGGACAACGCTGACGCTCTTTGAAGTCTCGCTTAATGTTTCAATTAGAAACTCCAAAAGCGACCGGAATTTCGAAGTCACGATCTTCAGTGAATTTCACTGAAATCCACTGAGTTCGTTCTAAGAAAGTTCGGGGTGTGGTTTTTGCTTTGCTTAGCCATTTCAAAAATAATCAGTGTAAAAACCAGTTGAATAGTGTCTTAAACTTAAATATGTATATGTTCATACATACACGTATGTATTTCGGTTGCTTGCTTCAATGTAACTTCTCGTAATACATATTGGCAGAGTTTATATGTATATATATAGATAATTTACCTTAAAATATTTTGATTTACTTTTTTCACACAGTATTTATTGAAAATTCGATCTTGAGTGTGTGTTTTTTTTTTCGTTTTTATTAATTTGTAATTCGCGTCCGTTTTCGTTTCGATTTTTATGTTTATTATTAATCCCATGTTTAAACTATGTATATATGTATAATGTCATGTTCATCATTCATTTCAAACGATATTTACTAACGTTTCAACTATTTGCACATATCGATCTTACTCCATTTATTTATATTTTAATAACAATTCACTCAAATAGCTCAATTAGTGCCAATCCATTTATATTGACATTGGGGATCATAAGTATCAGTATTATCCTTATCAATACATAATTATCCTTTCATTGCCATTCATTTGTCAACTCTAGAAATTAGAGAAAAATTCTAATTCACTCGGGTTTTTTCATTTTGGTTTTCTTTTATCATTTCATCATATATGTAATTATCAACAATAAATATTTACTTAAATTTAATATGAAATTATTTCTTAATCTATACCGCGCTACAATTTGCTCGCATTTGCTATGAAAAAATAACACAATGATCAAAAAACAAAATGAAAACAAGTAATGATTACACATTTCTAGCCGGAAGGGGCCCCGTTTCTAACATCATCATACATTCATACGTATTGCCCGATTATCGTAAAATATATAAGATTTTGATTTTTGAGCATTGGTGCTGTGAAACACCCAGCCAACTGGGGGCTGCAAAATATACATACAATCATTCAGTTTCTAGGTATTTAGGTATAAGTACTACTTAGTTAATTTGGCCACTCGGCTGCGTTTGTCGTGGGTAGTAGGTAGTTTAGTTCTTGTTCTTGGGTAGGTTCTCTTCTTCATCTTCATTGGGAATACATCTATGATTTACATTGCCTGATCTCGCTGCGCTCTCTCTCTCTCTCTCTCTCTCCCATCGCTATCTCTCTCTGTGTCTCTGCCTTTAGCCTGCCTGTCGTCAGCTGTAACGCTCAGAACGTAAAATTGATAGACAAGCGTTGTGCATATGTAGTATATGCGTAAATTGTTCAACCATCTTGAAACCATAGAATTGTTCATGTAGTTCTTGTGGGTGTCTCCATATTAGCTATTGTGTGGATTGGATGGAGGTTAGTGGTTCTCAAAATAAGCTCCGGCTCAAATAGGGAGGAAAAAGTGGGTGTAATTGCTGACTTTTGCCAAATGTGACGCATGATTATAAATTTAAATGTTTTCCTTATTCTTTTCTTCAATAACTTGTTGTTGTTTAATTCTAGCTGTTAGAATTAAAGTGTTTGTGTTTCTTGTCTGCCCAATATGTTGTTCTGTCTGTGTTGGCGCATTTATGTTGGCCTAAAGTAAGAGTGTTCCGCGTAGCCCAGGAATCGAACTGCAGGTTACCCTGAGACGCCTGGTATGCGATATACTTTGTCATATCTGCAAGTTGCTTATTAAATGTATACATATTAGATACATAATTGGATTGAATGCAATCTTCAGATAATGTATAAACATTGCATTGGTTCATAAAGTTTGCTAAACTTACAAAATAGCTCGACATCTGCAAGATGTACTCTTGCTATAACAGCATTTTTCGATTCATGGTATACCTTTTTTTCTTCTGTAGATTATAGGACAACTTGGAGAAAAACGATCATTTGATTCCTTTGAATTAAAAAACACGAGCGTTTTTATCGACTCTATAAAAGCAGGTGCTGTTCTTAGCAAACCTGTAAAAACTTATGAGCTTATGTTCTGCTGCTGCCATTATTTGTGTTCATAGTTTCTACATTATCTTTGTATACATAATGCATTGCATTTAAAACTTAAAGCTGCGACGCTAATGGGTGGTTCTTTTGGATTTTTGGATTGTGGGCTCTTTGATTTGGTTCACTAGGTTTAGCTGTCTGTTCATGCTTATTGGCTGTGGGTTAAAAGGAAGCGCTCGCTATATTAATATTATTCTTCTTCTTGTCTGACTTTTAATGTATCCAACCTGAGTTTGAGTTGCTCAAAAATATATGTGTATACTTTTTTATAGTATATACCAGTGTGTGTTGTGTTTATCTATGTGTGTTATGCGTTGACCGGCATACTCTTTACTAAATAGTGGTTCAAAAGGTATTTTACTTTACCATTTGTTGTTCTGTATTTTTTTATATTTTTTATTTTGTGTTGCTGTTATTTTACTGTAGTAGTTAGTATGTGTGTGTTTTTTTTCTGTGCTCACTCTATGTTTTAATTTGCCTTTTTTTAATAAAGTGTCGTTTTAATTTATGTTAACGCTGTGGCAAATAAATTATGCTTATATTGTGTGATTGCATTTCCTTTTTAAATTCTTAATTAAATTAATTCAACTTCAACAGTTTAATCGCTTTTGCTTTAGCATTTTTGCAATTTTTGGTTGTGTGTATGTAAATTTTTTATTATTTTCATTATGTATCTTTTTTATTGCATTTAAAACCGTGCACGCTTTGATTTATATTTTTTTAAATGTTTGTATTTTTATTAATTTTTTTATGGTTTTTAATGTGTATTTAATTGTTTAATTTTTTGAAACACTTGAAATTGCTCACATCATACAGTACTTTATTTTGTTGTTGTTGTCGCTGTTACTCGTTCTGACTTCCCCCTTATTTTGTAATATTTTCATTTCATTTAATTAGGTAGTTCTCAATAATTTACCAAATCGTTTAACGCTCGCTTTTCAAAAGACTTTTTCACATTGCAAATTATATTGTTAACATATTACATTTCGTATTTTGTTGCTGGTGTGCGTTTGTTTTTGTTCAAGTTAACTTAACCACTAACAAGTGCAGGAATTACATAAGCGTTTAATGCTGTCTGACAAATTAATAATATAAAAGTATATATACTAGTTTAAAACAATAACATAAACAATAAACAAACTCAAGAAAAGCTAATTGGAATGGCAATTACGACAATATTCAACTTAGACTTAAAACATCAAAGATAAAACAATTAACAAAAATTCAAATTTATATTAGTTTTGAAAACTCACAATTTGTCTTAGCGTTGCGACTGCAGTTCCCATAATACCCACTCTATATACGTGTATGTGTGTGTGTGTGTGGTGTGTATGTGTATGTGTGTAATGTATATAAATAATTGGGCGCCAGGCGCCTGCCAATTTCACTGTGTGTGTGTTTCTTGTAGATGAGAATGCATTTCGTGTTGTATTTGTGCCTTGTTAATACTTTAATGGTGTGTGTTGCTGTGTACTCAGTATTGCGCCACATTCGACGCCTGTGTGTATGCATCCCACTCACAATCGCAGCCATCGAGACAGTCGGGACACTCCAGCTCACTGTCTTGTCAGTAGAGCCAGGAGACCGGCACCCATTGGGGTGTAGTATGCACGCGTTCAATGGCCGATTCCAGCGCGGCAATCGTCTCGCCAATATCGCTGTTGACAATGGTCATATCGAAGAAATGCCCGTACAGTTGACGCAGCATATCCGATTCCTTAGCCAGACGCTCCAGACTTCCATCGTACTGCAATTAAGAAATCCAATTTGCATTACAAACTGTCGAACAAGTTAATTCCAATTGCCTTTGACCTTACATCTGCAATGTTCGACAGCAATGGTGCCGCTATAAACACAACATAGGGCGTGAATTCAGCAGTGCGCAATATTTTGAGTGCTTGCGGCTCCACATCTAATATGGCCATTTTGCCATCAGTATGTATGCGTCGAATGGTGTCCAGCTTGGTGCCATACATGGCGTCTTCATGGGTTCCTAATATATATATGTATAGCGGATACTTAGAATATCGTTCATTCAAATTTCCCACACATAACACACACTGTAACAAAGTAGATATATATATATATATCTACATTTATTACAAGATATGTATATATATATATTTTGTTACAGTGTGTGTTATATTCTACAGTGTGTGTTATATGTGAGAAATATGTACGAACCGTATTCTAAATACTCGTTGGCACCAATATCGGCCATCATTTCATCATGGGTAACAAAGTAATAGCTGCGTCCGCTCTCCTCATCAGGCTTAGCAGGTCTCGTTGTATCTGTTGATGAAATCAGAACTCATCAATGATTATATTCCAGCACAGAATTAGTGTCTCGTGTCACTTACGTGGTATGGGATAGGCGTACTTATCGGGATACTTTGATATTAAAGTATTCTTTATGTGCCTCCTACCAACTCCATGTGCACCCAATAGCACCAATGTCTTACGCTGAAAATTCGGATCACCCACTATATAGAAGGAATTTTATTTTATTAACATGTTACTGGTATGTCAATTTCATTATAAATTGCAGGTTTTTCTTTTTACAAACCTGGCACTTTGACCACCTCTTCGTATGTGACCACATCGAGCGTATCGAATATGGCATTATGTTTGGCCAAATATTTGTCCCGACATGGTTTCTTCTTGCGCCCGAAAATGGAACAGTTTACTGTGGGTTATACAGAGTGAAATGGTTTAAATAGTTGTTGCATATTAAACAAATATTAAGTACAGTTAAAACCATGCGTAGCATGCATGCCGTCAACATTAGTCGAATGCAACGAAGCTTGCAACTTGATTCGCATTCTTAACATTATATGTGTTTTTTACAAAACAATGTTGATTGATAGATTAGTTCAATAAAGCGATTGTTTTACAAATACGTATGCACCCAATTGAATATGCTTAAGATATACCAATGAAATGGCATGCACTGTTTTAAGTTGATCTTCGAAGCGGATGATGATTAAATTATGTGAGAGCTGTTTACTATATACACAAAAATTACACCTTCAACTAAATGGTCAATGGTTGAGTAATATAAGCGCGTCTATATATGAGCAGATATGATGTTTATATAATGAAATGCATTTTGGCAAAGCATTATAATATATGTACTATATAGGTACTAATAGCATTGGACAGGGAATAATCATTTGTGCGTTTCATGAGTTGTTGTTGAGGGTACAAACCCTTGCAGAGAAATTTATAAGAATAAACTTGCAACAAAATGTACAAGTCAAATACCGTGGTTATTGAGAACTTCAATGTATTTTTTATTTCTAAACACTTATATTTTAACATTTTTTGGATACAAGCTAGCGGACATAAATTAGGCTATATGTGATAACTGTTAAGATAAATCTTTTTTTCAATTTGTATTTGTTGAAAATCTCTGCAAGGGCGTTTACAAATCGGAACACCGAGAATATATTCAATTAACTCTATTTGTCGATAATGTGAATGACTTTTCGGGGACATCGGGTGTGGGTGTGCTGTTTGAAATGAGCATTGCTACTTTTTGTGATGAAAGAAATTTGAGGAAATACAAAACTCAAGAAAAAACGTTAAAAGTTCGGTTGTTGTCAATTTTTTTTTTGGTCTTAGGAGTATTAGCTACCTGCGGATCCATCACACCCATCTGCGTGAGCGGAACATCCAGCACCCGGGTCTCCTGGTACATATACATACATATTTATATATATATAATATGTATGGTTGGCGATTTCACGAGATTTATTAAAATATACTTGTTACCTATATGTACATAGGGTTGTGTCTTGGTCTAGGTGTGAATACTTTGCATTGAAGCAACATCATTTTATCACTGACAATTTGTACTATTTGGTCAAAATTTGGGGAGCTTTTTGGAACTACTTTTTTGCACATGCAGTTTTCTGAGATTTTTTGGTGTATGTATATGTATAGGTGTGTGTAAATGCGTGTGTTTGTGTGTTCGTTGAGCAAGTGTTTACTAATTTTGAGCTTGACGCTGCCATTTTGACAGGCAGAGATAGAAAGAGCGCTTTCATGATTATTTCTGGTTAACTACGAATTCATCACAGACTTTCCAATATAATAGAATTATAAAGCATACGATTATATTTAGCATCCAATTACACATATAAATAGTACACATATTTTTTTTTGTTTAAATGTCATAATGTAAATGTTAATATTTATTTAATATAAGCACTTACCCTGCTCCTGCTTGGTCTTATCAACGGTCTGACAGGCAATGCGCCATTCCTGCAGTTCCGGCGATGGTATCAAACCCGCCGAACCGCCCACCGTATCAATTCTCGCCTGCCACCAGTGATGATCGTCCTTGCTAATAATCTTAAAAGCATAATACAGCCATAAGTCATTAGTTCCAGTGCATGGATTACGGTGAGAGTTCCTTTAATATGCCTACCTGCAATATATCGCCCACTTGGAACGCAATGCCCGCCTGTGCGCAGGGTATAAGCTCATCGTCCAGCGGATTATAATCGAACTGTGCACGAACAAATATCTGTGCACAAAAATAATGAAAATAAGCAAACCAAAAGAAAAAAAGGAAAACATTTTAGTTGCTGACATTCCAGTTGCAAGTTTCCTAATGGGCTTGTTGGCCGTTGGCCACATCCACAGCTACCCGTCGACGGCTTTTGAAATTGAAATCTGCCTGAGAAATACCGAAAGACAACAGAACCAGAAGAAGCTAGTTCCATTCGATTATTATTTCTCCTGCTCCTGCTGCTAATGGGTAGCCATGGTTATCAATTAAACTAATTATCGCCTTTTGATGAAATCTAATGAGTTGTCTCTACTGCGATGCAAATGCATATGGCTGTGTGTATGGACATGTACATGTACACATGAATGTGTGTACCTTGTTGTGTTGTGTTATGTGCAAATTGTGTTTGAATCTTTTTGAAAGTGATACTTACAAGCACTGGAGCGGGTCTTATCCTGAAAAGCTGCATGTTTGTGGGGTAGGGAGTAGTGAAGAGCGAGTACGAACCATTTTAATGAAGAACAAAATAATGAGCATCAGCTACAGACAGCAATCGCATCAATTACTCATTGATGTATGCCAAGTGATTTGTTATATGGTTAGTGTGGCTTATGGTCAATGCAATTTTAGTTTCAATATGAGGAAACCCTAATCTTAATTCAAATTGATAAACTGCACTAATTCAAATAAGGGTAATAATATTTTTATTAGCACAAGAAAGTGACGAGTTTCTATCGTTTCTATGTCTATAGATTATGTAAATGAATATAATGGAAATGCAAAACAGACTTTGTGACTTAAATACATCAGCTACATAGTTAAAAATTTAATGAATGTAGCGATTGGTTTGGTTTAAAATCTAATCAATTAATTATGATAATATTTTGACACTCTTAGCATTGGTCAAAGTAATCAATGTCCTATTTTATTGACGGACTTTACTACAAAGAGTAAATCTTAAAAAATGAAAGAATGCCAAAAATAATTTTAAATGAAATGCAACTAATAACGATGCTGTCGAATGTGATCGACTAAAAACTAAATACTCTAATCCCATTGAAATGGAAAAGGGTCTTTATGATTATCACTTCAACAGAAATTAACAAAAGTTTTATTTCTGACGTGTAACTTATAGAAAACGATTGCATAATCTGCAATAATTTATACAGGCTAACGGAATTCTTTATCGATATTTGTATTAAATAAAAAATGAAGGATCTTCTTTCTTCATATTGCAAATAATTTAAAAAACTGAAGGTAGCTAATATTAAATGATTTTCGTTTTAGAATTTATGACTAAAATTACATACATAAAACAGACTCTTTAACGGGTTTTTTTTTTAAATAAATCTAAAGTATAGACAATCGTAAACTTACCTCACAAGGCGGCGGTGCGCTACGGTAAGAAGGAACTATTTTAAAGGTAACGGAACCGCGTGCCTCGCGCTGCAAAAGGATATGGAGACAAGCACACGCAAAATGATTGATTAGAAACAAAAAAAACTATTGGCATGAAGGACTGCTTGCCACCTACCAGCATTCGTTGCAATTGACCGACCGACTGATGCTGCACCGGCTGCCCATTGATCTCCCGTATCTCGTCACCCACATGCAATGTGGCCTGTCGATGTATCATGCCGCCGTGCATGATACGCGCCACAATGCAGCGCCCGTCTTCGGTCATTTTGAGCGTGATGCCCTACAGTCGAAATGAGAACGCAAATGAGTTAAGAGGCTAATTGTTGTGGCAGTTTGGGGCTTACCATCGGTTCGTCTGTGTTTTTCTGGAACTGAACGAGACGCACGCGTGTCACATGCTGCAGCTCACCGCCCTCGACATTGTCTATCTCATCGCCATTGAGATAGGGCACCATTGGCGGCGGTGTCACCCGCAACGCCTCCTCGCCATAAACATCCCGAGCGACAACATCATGTGTATGCAGCAGCGCCTGTCAAAGAGCAACAAAACAAGAGAAAAAAAACCAAATGCACGTTAGCCTTTTTTCTTTTGGGGAGGTCGGTCTCGACTTTGGTCGAATGTCGACTGAGTCAAAATTATGGCCGGCAATTAAGCTGCCCGTTATTATGCGGCTAAAAGCCATTACAAAGTCACTTTCTCTGGAAATTAAATTCTCCGATTTTCTATGCTTGACTCATATATCATAACCCAACTCACAAATACACACGCACAGCTACCGAGTGCCCGCCCATTGACAGGGGTTGAAGCTCCTCCCAACACCCACACAACTTGTTTACAACATCAACTGGCAACATTTGTTGCCGAAAAAACAACCGACTCGAAAAAGAAACACTTGAAGGACTTAACCGACTGTGCAATGCACTGTTCCCAATGCTACATGAGTAAAATATGAAATGCCTCTGCGACTAGCTGTCTGTTCGCACTACACAAAGCCAACCCATTACTAACAATTGGTAACAGAGTATTCATTTTCGAAATGCCGTTAAAGCGGCGACGACAGCAAGGACAACGGCACGCACATGAACCCAATAAACCCAAACCCAGAACGTTGTCCCCACCCCCACCCCCAACGGCAACAACAATGGGAATCACAAAAATTTATGGCGATCTCTCAAGTGCAGCGACCTTCTCCGCAGAGAAGCAACGGCTTGACTTTATACAATTTCGTTTTTAATAAATTATGTTTAATAACACTTTGAATATGCTGTGAAATTAATTTGTGCGGCGTCCCCGACAAACCGCAAGATAGCAGACCAAGGCATCCACAGGGCAGGGTCTGTAATACTTTAACAAAAATACACACACACACACACACACCATCATCAACATATACACAATACGCACTGGAAGGACCGCTACTGGCGAGCGATGGGTAATGTCATAAAAAGGATTTTACTGCGTAACCATGCTGTGCCGCTTGAAGCTGTTGTGGCACGCACAACGCACACCTATATATGTAAAACATACACACTTTGATATGTACATATCCATATGCTAAGTATAGCTAGGCGATGTCAGCGCTTTTGTGGGTGGCTCCATAAAAAAAACGCAATTTTCAACGTTGATGATTACTCAATGCCACAAACACACAAATATATATTCACACACAGGCACACAAACACACACATAAGCACGCACACAGTCACAACAACATGCACGTACACAGCACTCTCGCTCTCGTTCTCGACAACACTCAGTGGCACGTTTCATTTCCACCACAGACGTTGACGCTGAGGCTGAAGCTGATGCCGCTTCAACATTACAAAAGCGACCGCAGTTGCCTTTTAGTTGGTCTGTCACTAGTTGGTAGGTCTTGTTTGTGCTGACAGGCAGGCAGGCAGGCAGGCCGGATTGGGACGCCCGGGACAGAGAAGGAAGTCAACTTATTTCGTTGCTCGCTTTTAGGCGCTGCTTAAAAGTAAATTGGCTTTTTTCACTGCCACTCAACTATTGCAAAGCCTAAGCTGATTTCACACAACGTCACTGTCACTGTCACTGTCACAGTCACTGGCGAAATCACAATCACCATCACTTGGCATTCAGTTCGTTCAAATATCCGCAATGCCGTGTGCATAAATATTTGATAATGCTTTTAACACACACTGCGATTTGTTGCCAGCCCGCACCAGTAAATCAAAATATGCATTTATTTTGTTATGTGGTTACTGCATATGTTGCCTGACATTTTCTTAATCGAATTGTGCAAACAAATGGCTTGAATATGATTTTGCCATCGCTAGCCTACTACTTATATATCACTCATAACATATTTTATTCTGTTCGAACAGGCAAATTTGTCAAGGCGGATAAATCGAATTGAATTGGAAGAATAATTTCTTAGTTTCAATCTCTTGATTTTCTGATGGCAACTAAAATGCTTTAAATTACTCAAAATAGCGGAAATAAAAGTTGTACATGCTGTCTATAAAATATTCGCATAATGGCACATTGTTCAACTTATTACACCTGTCAAAACTTGAATATACAACAAACAATATAATTATAGTTTAGCCACATTACAATAAAAATGTAATTTAAACAAACATTCAAAGTGGTTTGTAGACGAACAAAATCATTCAATTGACAGTTCAATCTAATATTTATAATTTATCAACCCGTTTGTCATGTGCTAAATTCACTGCACATCAGCAGAAATAAACTTTGCCAGAGAATGTTGCCAATTAAATTTTTGTTTCAAAGCAAATTGAATAGCAACTGTTTAAATATAATATACAAATGTGCAACTTAATGTTTTCACAGTAAGCTTAATTTCTATCACAGAAATCTTGCGTAATTTTCTAGCCGTTCCATTTGTCTCATGCTCTCAGGCTCAACCTAAGTATCGACTAAAATATTATTTGCTTTTCGTAGACGAGTTAAGTAAATTGAGGGAGGCTCTTAAATATTTTGTAAGCCATCCTCTCTAGTTGGTATTTAATGCGCAAGAGTTATTTTTCTGTTTAATTTATCTAAGGGATTAAACGCTTTTTAAGCGAAGAGCTTAAAAAAGGAACATTGAAACGAAATTTCAATGCAATATTTTGCTTATTTCCTTTTGATGGCTGATAACGATAGACAGCAGTGATACTAAGAATTAACGTTAATTAAATCAGCTTACAAACGTACAAAAATACAGACAAATATAGTCACATATATATACCAAAAGAAAACAGATACAAATTTCTCAAAAACAGACATTGTACAATGATAATTAAAAAAATAAAAATAAAGAACAATTTTTGCACAAGTACAATCCGTCAAAAAAAACACAGGAAAATATATATTTTTCCACAATTAGTTGTGTTATACACTTTTTATAAATAAAAATAGCTGTGCTGTTATGGACAGAAACAGAGATTAGGCGATTTTGTAGTATTTGCTGCATAGGATTATTCTAAACCAACAAAAGCAATTGAACTACCTGTGGTAAGTGATCACTAATATACCAACAAATCCATTTTGTTTTGTGAAAATCGAAGCGAACTTAATTAAAAGCATGTTTCACAGTTCAAACTAATTTGGTCAAAAGGAAATAATCAATTTAATTGTTGTAGACAGCAGTGCTATTAAAAAATGTGCAAAATGTTGTGGACATTTTCAATTTTCAACATATCTGCTGTAGACCTGTCGAGGTTCTCCATCCATTTTGTCGATATTTTTCGTATCAGTTGTAAACCTGTCGAACTTTCCCATCCAACTCTGAAAACTTTCATCAGTTAATCATTACGAAAGGAAAAAAACGACAGAACTTAGTTGTCCTGACATAGACGAGCTACCTGGGCCACATTCTGTGAGCCATCCGCCGCAGAAAATTCGACTAAATAAATGGTTTATATAATTTCGGAAAATAAAATTACGTACTTGGAATAGAATTTGCTGAACTTGGCAACTATTTAAATATGGCAGCCGGAGTAGGAAACGGTACGAGATAGGAACGTGTAGTAGGGGTTGAGGGTGGCATGGAAATTGGCAGTTGCTGCTGAATGGCTAGCTGGCTGGATGGTTGCCGCCTGGTTAGTTGTGCGACCGCCGGAAGTAAGCGGTAAACAACGTAATCTGATTTCAGTTAAAGCACGCCCTCCCGGCACGCCCCTTGGAAAGCCGACAGCCCATAGTTAACACCAAGTTGTTGGGCCAATAAAACGGTAAATTTAATAAACGCTTGACAGGCGAAAAGTTGAGCAGTTAGGTTTAATGCCTCATTAGTCGTCGCCAGAGCCCTGCCACTGAATCTGAATCCCAACCAAGCTTTTGACATTGATAGCCAAAGTCAGCGTCAGCAACAAAGTTTTCGGGCCAAGCTAGCACACACACAAGCACACAGAGACACACTCACACCCACAGTACAAATACATTCAGCTGGTACGTGTGCCCGGCCCGCAGCTGACTTTGATTTCCATGATTAATACTTAAGTGCTTGTTAAAGTTTTACCAACACACACTCGGCAAGCAGCTGACACCCACTGTCACCCTTGCGACCCCAGCTGCCCGGCGAGGCGCAGAATATGCAGATGCTAGTTTATTCTAAGCTCGCCGTGACCCTAAACAATCGCACATCGCCCAACACTTTGTTGTTTACCCGCCCCTCTATGTGTGTGCTTTGCATGAACTTTGCTGAGGCAGCAACACAACACGACTTAAGACACTGGCCAACAGTGTTGGGTAACAACATGACACTGAAAAAAAACAACCAATCTCATATTACACACTTTATAAAAGGCCAAGTTGCTTTCTTGGCTTTATTTCATTGTCTTATGCTAAGCAATATTAGAAAAGTCATAAACTGAGCTTGGAACATACTACATACATAAGTTGGCAGTCTTACGCATTCGGTTAGGTAGTCAGGATGTTCCTAACCCACACAGGCTCAATAGTTTACTACTCCATACCGTCTTTGTTCCTAGCTCCTGTAGGAGAACCGATATGATTAACTGACAAATAATTGATATAACATGAATTTCTATCGATAATAAGTAATAGAGTCGTAATTGTCAATTCAAGCTATTTTCGTTACGATCTAAAAGAAATAATATTGATTTTCTAATTACATATAATGATAAAATTGATTTTCCAGGTCTTTATAAAGAAAATATGTACCTGTAATCACTTATTATAAATTTTTTTAAATTAAGTTCTTCCGTCCACAATTGTATGTCGAATGAATTTAATAAAAGTCAGTTTATGGTTCAGCTTAATGAACAGCACTATTGTGTATGGGACTGTATTGTTGGCAGCTGTGGTTCACGGCCAGTGTTTGTTTGCTGGTCATTTGAACAGGTCTGCGCTAAGTCAACCGCCCAGAGAATGAGAACCCACCAGCGACCAAGCGTCGAAGCCACAAAAAAAAAACATCTCAACATCTACAGCAACCTTATTTGTTGGTTTTAATAATTACATAGCTGTGGCAGCAACAACGGCAACGGCAGCGGCAACAGCAACAGCAACAGCAACGAAAACTTTGCTGTGATATTACGCTCTTTAATATGCCAGTCCACACTTCAATTACACACGTAAATAATGGGCGGCACGGCCTGAGCACTTTCAGCTGAGAAAGCTGACACTGGGCGCAGTGGCATCAACATCAGCATCAGCCACAGCCGGTCCCATTAGGGCAGAACTACAGGAGTTGCCAGTGCAAACGTTGACAGCTGAATCATCTGGATTAATGCCGAATTTTAATTAGTACAACGTGCAGCCATCAAGGCAGTCAGCTAGTATTTCAGTTAATCTTACGGTTTTGGGGGACGCACGTTTTATTGTGGTTGCTGCTCCACTGGCAGCGCCAATGGTGGCTGTCCTCGTTCACATAGGTTTGACACTTGGCGCCTTATCAGCGTTCTTGCAGCGACCACAGAAATGGGAGCGGCTTAAAAACGCAACCAGGCGCAAGTCTTTGAAAATCCACAGTCAGAACACAATCATATATACAGAACACAAACATATGTACATATGTAAGCACCTCCCATATCCACACAAAATGGGCTAATAAGCACGCATCATATGCATGATTAATTCGCGAAATGAAATATTATTCCAGGTTGTTTCTTGGCTGAACAGACGCCTGTCAAGCTGTCAGTTTAGTGCTAAGGGTGGCGGCCCTGCCCTGCCTTGGCCTGTCTGACATGTCTGTTTGTGACGTCTGATAAGCCGGCTGGCAAGCAACGTAACACCATCAAGGCAAAACCAACATAAAACAACACATAACAGCAACAACAAAATATAAAACTTATAAACTTACTTTTAAGGCATACTTATTTTGTGGGGCACTGCGAGCGGCACTGAGCGATTTTGGCTTCCGTTTTGGGTGGTCATCGTTTGTTGCTTGGCTGGCAACCACCAAGACACAGTCTTACAGTTAACATTGGACTCCAAACACAACATTCACCGTACGACTATGTCATGGTAATTGAGCGACTGCTGTCTCTTGTCCTTATCCATTGTGGGCTGGCGACAAATACATCCTGTCGCCTTACTCAGTGTGCCCCATTTTATTCATTCCACTGGCCAGCGGGCAAATGCCTTCACATCGAGCAGTGCATCGTCGTACATCAATGTACCCATCTACCTGTACATAGATTGACGCAGGTAATATGATTAGTAGCTGCCTTATCAGTTGAACAATGGGTCTGGCTCCGTTGTCGTCCTGTCATCTACATCCTGTGTACCATGCACCGTGTACCGCGCAGCCCAAACCATCCCGCATGACGCAATTCGCAACCCACATCCCGCAGCACCCGTGCTGTCAGGCGCAAATCATTCAATTTTGATGTCCGCCATGAGCCACAAATGAACAACGACCAAAAAAACTACAAAATTTGAACAATGGTAAAAGGCAAAATATCGCCTGGCTGACTGCGGTTGTTGCTGTTATTGTTGTTGTTGCGGTTGCTTGCAAATCTGCTTATTATTCGTGCAAACATATCGCACCCACTCACACACACACACACACGCACGTATGTGTGTAACGAAGAAGCCACAAATTTCCGATGTGCCCGTGTGTGTCTGCATTATGCACTTATCAGCGCAATCTATCTGCGGTGTGACAACTTCTTCCTGTTGCTCGATAGACAACATGGTGAGTGGTTGGACTATGGGGACCAAGTCATGACAACCACATCCAAAAAAGCACAAACAAACACAGACAAGCACTCACATCGAAGAATCTGCCAAACTTAAGTTCACTTTCTCCCACTCCCACTCTCTCTCTCTATCTGCCGAGTCCTTCTTATGGCCGTCATTTTCGTGGGATGTTGTCGTGTTTGTGGTTAGGCAACGTTTTTTGTACACATTTTTTGTGTTTTGTGTTTATTACATATATATCATCATCATACACTCAACACATTGTCTTTATATATGTGCACGTGTTTTTGTATATTTCATATATATATATATATATATATATATATATATATATATGTGTGTGTGTGTGTGCGTATTTTCTTTTATTCAATTTCAACTAGAGCAACAACGTGGCAGCACAAAGGGCGATAACTCAGTTTTGTAACAAGTAAACTAATTATTTTTTGATTTTTTTTCCAGTGGTTGCCAGTTGGTTTTGTTGTGCTCTTCTTGTTTGCTTGCCTTGAGGAGCTGTCTAAAGCAAAGCGGCGCATGTACGCATATGCATGTATAAGTGTGAGTGTTTTCTGTGTGTATGTGTGTGTGTGTGTGTGTCTGTATGCGTGAGCGCTGCTAAATTGCAATATAATGTACACACTTGGCGTTGTAATCGCCATTGTTGTTTGATGTTGGAACTGCCTCTAACTGCTTGTTCATGCCATTGTGCTTGTTCATCATCATCAACAGTAACGGCAACAGCAGCAGCAGCAGCAGAGGCAGCAGCTGCAGCAGCAGCAGCAGCAGCAAAAAAACAACAGATGTGTGTGCTTGGCCCAGTACTAGTGTGATGTTTACACACATCTACATATGTATGTGCTATGCACACATACAAACTTGGACGATGGCAAGTGCTTATGTCTTTTGCCTTGCTTGCGCAATTAACGCATTCACAAATGAAGAGTGTCAAGGCAAGCAGGCAGCAGTAGTCTGTCTGTCATTTGGTCTGCCTGTCCGTTTCTCAGTTAGGCGCTTTTTTTGGGGGGGACCAAGCCAATAATTAAGCACACATGCATCTCTAGCCCAATCTCTCTCACACACACACACAGAGCAGCTCTTACCAGCTTAAGTTTTGAAAACTTTCCAAGTTGGTTAAAAGTATGACAGTTATTAGGGGACACGAAATGGAATAATGCATTGGGCCCAGTGCACTAAAAAGCGGCTTACAAAGTAATTATAATTGGCAAGAAGCGGATCGGGTCATTAAAAAGTTCCAAAGATAAAAGGCTTCTTAAATATTTCTTTTACACTGCTTGACTAAAACTAATTTAAGGATCTTTTTAGTTTGACGTAACGAAAAATACAAAATAAGTGCACTTTATTGGAAAACTGTTGTAAGATGGAAAGATTTCAGGGGAAAATAATCAATTTTATTCACACACAAACAATATGTATTCGTAAATTGAAGTTCAGGAGATGTGGCCTCGCATTATCGTGGCCTAAGTACTTAGAGTGACCTTCCCTGTGATGAAAAAAGTTTTTGGGCAATCTACATGGATATGCCATCAAAACCTGGCCTCGTTAGCTTTAAACTCAATTTGATGGTGCGAACACACCTCTTGCTAGTTCCCTGACAGATTCAGGCGGGATGATCCGGCAAAAAGGCGGAGCGTGCCTTCAAATTAACTCCCCGACTGCCGGCAAGAACTTGCAAGACATCATAACGAGCCTATTTGCAATGCTGCCCCTGTGTCTAGCCCCATCATTGCCTGTGTGCTTCTATAATGTTTATGTAAATTTGCCCCGCCTGGCGCAAAAATTGAAAGGCGTAATGGTTTGTTGCGCTGCCTATTTTGCATACGACGGCACGATGTTTCACTTTTGTGTTGGTTTTTTCATTTCTTTTATATTTTTTGCTTTTTGGTGACACGCTCTCTTTTGTGTGTGTGTATTTGGAAATTGTTCATAATAATTACACACACACACACACACATGTACATACATACATATAGACATACAGACTATATACAACTGACATCAGGCATATTAGCCGCTATAATCGAGTGGAAGAGAATTATTTTGTGTGAACTAATTGCATTAGTGACATTCAATTTGACGCCGGAACGGAGGAGAAGTGTAGCAGGAACAGCGCTAAACGGCAATTGTCACAGAGCATCGAGAATTCTGATGGACTCACAGCGTCATCGAGCAAACCTTATTTTATTTTAGTTTCTGTTTTCATGTTCATAGATTGTTTATTTTGCGCTCTGCGCTTTGTGCTGCCTACTTTCGGGCGCAGTCAACCAAATCCAGCGCCTGACTCTGATTTGGGATACGGAGCCGGACCCCAAAATGGGGTCCGGTCTGCGCCGCTTGAGCAATCATGTGAATCGAGCTCTATATAATTTGCAAAACTATGCGAGTCACTAAGTTTACGCGTGTGCCTCACATATATTATGTAAAGCGCCAGTTGCCTTACTTATTGTTTGTGTTTAGATATTTTGTGCTTGTGCCCGAAGGATTTTTGGGTATCCTGATATATGTTTTTGAATTTCTTATGAAGCAACACTTTGCTGGGATTAAGGTGACCAATCCGATAGAGTGCTACAATTCCATCTACCAAATGTTCGGGTTCACGGTTGCAATCTCCTAAGCCGAAGCTAACTGTTATTTCTTAAGCAGGAAACTATTTATGAAATTGATTGGTAAATAAAATAAATTGGTAAATGAGAATAACACGCTCAGCTAAATGTACATTTTCATTTGTTTTTCTTTCTTTAGTTCAGGGAAAATTAGATTTTAATGATATGTGTCAGTTGCAAGTATCATAATTTTCGTACGTAAAAAGAACGGCACCAAAAACCTTGTGTCCTTGTCAAAATTGAAAGATTGTCTTAAATAACTTGCACAGTTTGTCAATGAAATATATCATGTGATTGAGACAAAAAAAAAAGGTTTAGGTATCATTAATCACAATTCCCTTCTGAATGCGACCATAGAAAAAGTTGATAAATTACATCGCTACTTTTTGAATATTTATAAAAATTAATTTGTATATCCACATCAATAGTTTTTATGTTCATGCTTTAAAGCTCCTATTTAACTTGAGCACATATTAATCAAAATTATGTTAAATTGCCAACCATTTCCACACAAAAAAAATAATTTAGTGTCGTTGTGGCTGTGTCTGTGACTGTTGTGTTTGTGTGTGTGTTAACCTCGTGTGGCTTGGGCTAATGTGGCTGCAGGTTGGTCAGCTAAATGAATTAATCTTACATGTCGTTGACACATTTTCTGTTGATGCCCCAATGTGTTGAGCACTTGGTTTCCGGTACGAATTGGCTTACCTGTAGATGGTTCCAGGAGTCCAAGCAAACAGTAGGCGTGCAAGAGAAAGAGAAACAGAACGGAAAACGTAGGTGTGTGAGTCAAAAAGTCGGAAACACACGGATACACGCATGATATATATTTACATACATATTATATATGCCTTAATATATAGATTTACATACATATGTACATGGCTCTCTAAGGCAATTTAAATACAAAATGAAATACAAAGGCGCAAAACATTTTGTGGCAAGCTGTGGCTGCTTTTTTTAAGTGAATGCAATTAATTAACGGATTTTAGACACATTATATATATAACTCCACCACTCTCTCCCTCTCTCAGTCTATTTATCTTTTCACACACTCGTGTTTTGGGTATTTGTGTGTGTGTGTGTGGCTCACCTGATGTCCGGAGCATATGGAGCCATTGGGCACACGCACACGAAACGGACTATGCACTGGGCAGGAGGTGCGCGGTCCCCAGCGCGATGAGGCCGCCTGTTGCAGGGACAACGCTGAGCTACACGGATTGAACAGAGCCGGTGGCGGCGGGCAGGGCGGCGCTGACATGCTGATTGAGCTGAGACCGCTCATGCTGCGACAATGTCCCGACAGCATGGCAACATCAGCAGCCGAGCATTGGTTTACGGGAATGCCCTGGCCGCTGCTGCCGACGCCGCTGCCGCTCATGCCGCTGCTGCCACTGCTGCCGCCGCCGCCACCGCCGAGCAAGGACATGTGTGAGCCACAACCACCGGACATCAACGATTGTGATGTTAGCCCATGATGCTGGCACATGCCGACGCCGCCGGATGCTGTCACGCCCGCTGCTGACCATTGACCGCCAGACGCCGCTGCTCCCGATGCCGCTGCTCCCGATCCTCCTGCTGCTGCTGCAGCCTGTGTGTCACCGCCGCCGCCGCCGCCACAGTAGTGATCCACGGTAAAACTGTCTTGGCTACCAGAGCATTGCAATCGATGCGGTGGCGGTGGCGAGGATTGGCGCGAGTAAATGTTGTATGCTGTTCCCCTGGTTCTATATGTCCTTGAACCTTCTGATATGGTGCACTTTCCGTTGTTCCCTTGCTTGTTGCAGTTGCTGTTGCTGCTCCTGTTGTTGTTGCTTAACTTCTTGGGAAACTCTTGTCGCCTGTTCTACTTGATTTTCAGGTATGCGTTGTTCTTGCTCTTGGCAGCTGAGTCACTTGATCACAGCGTTGACTAACATCAACAACAACAACAACAACAGTTAACAATAAACAACAACAACAATAAACGTGGATTCCACTTTATGGATTTGCCTTAATATTACAACAATTGAAACATGTATGCATTTTCCATATGTTGTTGCTGTTGCCGCTCTTCGTTTGGTTGCATTGAAATTCTCTTGAATTCTTTAGCTATCACGGTACATGTATATACATATACATACATACATATATATGTATTTATACTGTCTACATATATGGGAGTATGTATTTAGTAATAATTTATTGGAGCCCTGTGGAGCTCACTTGGTGTCGTATTCTTTAAAATTATTGTTTCCTTTAATTGATTTATGTTGTTCTTTTTTTCCCTTGTTGCTTTAAGTGTTTGTTGTTTTTATTAAATTATTAAATGCTTCTTTTTAGTGTTTATTCATCACAATTGTGTTTATTTTTATATTTATTGTTATTTTCATGTATTTTAGTTGCAGTGTTTTAATTTGTGTATATTTATATTATTTGTTTATAAATTGTATTTAAGTTGCAGTGTTTTAAATTTTTACAAGTATTCACTATTTATTTTCAAGTTGAATTTAGTTTGAAATTTTGAGTTGCCTTTTTGGTTAATTTTTGTTTTAGCATGCGAGTTCTGCAAAAGAAAATTGTTGAGAAGCCCAAAATTAAACGAAACG